CACCTCAAGCAAGAGCTCTATCATTCCTCTCAAGTTTAGTTTAGTAGTATCTAGCTGGTGGAATAGAATTAGAATAGAAATCAGGAGTCCGGAAGCCTTCGGAAGAGTTCGGGTATGGCTCTAGTAGCTTTCCTTTTCTCTTTTGTAAGCTTTGTACTTTTATTAGAATACTCTTCTAAATACATTCCGGGTATTGAAATACTTTCCGAGTATATGAGTACCTACTTTACATTATGTTCAAGTTATACTGAATATACTGCTAGCTTACCTGGAAGATCCTTTGGTACGGGTATAGTGTTTGCTTATGCAATTACTCTATGTCATAATAATGACATTAGAGTAGTATCTGGTAGTTTACACATGGTGTCTAAATTACGGGATATCATTATTTGGGGTTATATATTGCGGATGAGAGGTGGGCCGCTGATGGTGACAGCTCAGTACGGGTATTCCTCCGCGCCTATATATAATCCTAAGTTAATTTCCTGGGGAGGGTATTCCTCCATATTTAGCCCCGGTTGGATGGTCATGACGGGCTGTCATAAGGAACTCGACAGTCAGGGGTGGCTTCTCGAAGTACCAGGAGGGCATTGGATAGAGGGTATTGGCTAGTATATCAGTTAACTAGAATGTATGTATACTATGTATATTAGAAGTATAGGAATAGATTCTCTTTCTCTTTTCTTTCCACCTAGCTTAGATTATTTATTATTATGAGGATAAGTAGTAATGCTTGTGTGTCACTCTACCCTTGGATTATATTAACCCCTGCTTAGAATATGATTATCACAAGTAATATATAAATTATTAGTTGAGTTCTCTCTACATGATCTTTCCACGGGATAAAACAAATACGATACCCTTGGAATACTCTCGAGTGAAATGCTACAATGGTATATCCGTGCGCCTGCGGATGAACTCTGTAAGCATAATATACCAGAAGTGTTTCTACGCCATTGCTGGGAATTATATTTCTAGTAATGTCGTTAAGAAATACCAACAGTGGATATGATAAATTCTTTCTTAATATTTGGTCATAAATGTTTTAATTACAATAGAATGTAGTCATCTATATATTGAAACATAATTTTGAGCATGTACGAGCTGTTGCCTCCAACTGTTTTAACTTAACCAAACTTTGGTAACTTGTACTCTTAAAGTGTACACAAAATTGTGAAAGATCTCATACCTAAAATTTTTCAAACACTACCTATAGATTCAAAAACTTCAAGAAGTTTTATGGTAACTGGTTAAGTAGATGTGAAGACTGAAGAATCTTCGGCTGCGTGGAGCTTGGGTGATCAGGAGGAGCAGAGGGCATGCCGAGAGATGCTGAGATCGGTATTCAGGAGCCAGTTATAGTGATGGGGCCAGATGGAGGCCGAAGGTGATGATGAAGAGGAAGGCATGTCGATTCAGCTCCGGGCATGTCAACGATCGATCGAGGATGCACTAGTGAGTGAAGATCAGAGAAGAAGAACAGGTAAGGAAGTTTATTATTATCTCTCATTAACAGTAACACTGCTATCCTGATGTTATGTTTTCGAGTGAAGATGCAAATTTTGTGTGGCAATTCCTTGTACTCACCAAAATTCTATGATATTAATTGATACACTTTCTTGTTGTCTATTTTTTTATTACATTAGCTTCACTGCCACAGAAAAGGCAATTTATACCAGTTTAGAAAAGGAATTAGTGCCAACACCATATTTGTACGCATTATGAATGTGGATTGAGAATCTGTCCTATTGAGATCGGTGAGCAAAATATAAATGAATCAATGAAGCTTGAATTATGGAAACACGATGCGGACCCGTGCATAGATCTAGCCATCACCACCTACCTATTGGCGGTCGGATTCGACAAAGTCAAGGATAGTGGTGTAGAGTCTCCCCGCTTCTCACCTGAGTATCCAACACTTGCTGCTGTGAAAAAGTTTGTCCGCCCGCCACTGTTGTGCTAGTCGCCCCATGTGCGGATCTGTTCGTTGTGAGCTCATGGAGGTCGGATCTAACCGCCCCCGAGCTTGTGGTAGCTAGATCCGGCGAATTCCTCCTCTCCACACTCCCTCCATCTACCCCTCCCTTCTTCGCTGCCTAATGTTTGCTTAGTTTAATGTTTCATTATAAGTTCAGTATACTCCGCATATTCACATATATCATCGAAACATTGGCACACACTACAAGAATCTTGTTAATCCATGATGGATTAACAGGTTTGTTGTAGTGACATTGCTTGATGCATCATGCATGGTACTCATTTATTTTTCTAGCACGTTGGTGTAGTACTCCTTCCATCCTATAAGACATTATCACACTAAAATTTGTCCTAAAATATAATGTATTTATGATCCCAAGACAATACTTTATTCCCCACATATCTACTTTTGTACTAGTTTATTACTCACCCACTCACATTTGTACTAATTTACACTACTCCAAAACATCAAATAGGTGTCGCCACTATAGGTGCCGGTAGTGTTAAAACCGGCACCTATAGGCCCTTTTCCACCTCCATGAATTGAAATCGCAAAAAACCAGTACCTTTAAGTAATTACATGTGCTTCTAAATAAAAACCGACACCTATTATATTTAGTGTCCCTTTTTTTAAAAAAGGCACATATAATATATTATAGGTGTCGGTTAATTAAAAAAACGACACCCTAGAAATCGAGCCGAACCGGCGGGCCCTACCACGATGAGGCGACGTGAGGAGATGTGGTCTCACTCTCTCGCTCTCTTCTTCGCCTCTTCTCTGTCTCGCTCTCTTCTCTCGTCTCTCTCCCTCCCTTCTCTCCCGCCGCCGGCGGCTGGCCGGCGGAGGCAGCAGCGGCGACCGCGCCCTCCCCTCCGCCAGATCCGACGGGAGGGGAGGCGGTGGCGGAAGGAGGGGAGGCGTCAGCGGCGGGTGGGGTCGGCGGTAGGTGGGGCTAGCGGGGTCGGCGGCGGGCGGGGTGGTCGGATCCGACTTCGGCGTCGGGCGGGGTGGCTCGAGGAGGGGAGGTGGTGGCAGCCGGCGGGCTTGAGGAGGGGAGGCAGCGGAGGGCTCGCCGGCGGGGAGGAGCCCTCCACTCCGCCAGATCTGGCGGGAGGGGAGGCGGCGGCAGGGGCGGCAGGCTTGCGGAGGAGACGTGACAGCGGGCTATGGTGCAACGGCTCGAAGGCGACTAACCGATGGCGTGACGACGACTTCATCTGGTGGCCGGATCTTCTTCAACAAGGCAAGCCACCAAGCCAAGCAAACCCCTCCTCTCCCTACCCTCCCCCTCTCACTTCTTCGGCGGCGGTGTGATTTTTTTTTATTGCATAAATTTGTGTTGTGATATGAATGTTGTGGGATGGATCCATCTTCTAATGTTGTGGGATGAATGTTGTGGATCAAAATTTGTTCTGTTCTTGTGGATGTGGGAGGAGTTCTTGTGGATGTGGGAGGAGTTCTTGCGGATGTAGGAGGAGGGACAACTCGGCTCGATGCGTCAGCTCGAGCCGGCTTTTTTTTTATTCATCGAACCTAAAAGGTGCCGGTTCTAAGGAACCAACACCTTTTTGATTTTCAAATCAGTGCCGCCTCCCTTGTGACAGTTGGGAAAACCGGCACTAAAACCCTTTTCTGTAGTAGTGTTATTTCATCAACTATTACCTTTTGTACTTTCATTTGTCATTTTGATACTTTCTTAATCTTTGAAAAAAAAGGCATAATCCCTTATATTATAAGACAGATGGGTGCACAACTTATAAAAAAAACCACTAAACATGCAAAGAAAATTGTAGGATTAAAAATGACGTCTGTTTTTATTCTTCTTCTCGAAGAGTCGAAGTACAGTAGTGCGAGGAGAACCAACAAGCTAAAGACACGAAAAATACTAGGACTAGGGGAGTTGTACAAATGGAGTAGCGACCTCCCCTTCTGCTTCGTTTGTGCCGACGGCACAGAGAGGAGAGGGACATCACAAGAAAGAAGAAGGGAATGAGGGGAAGGGGGAAGGGGAAGAAGAGAGTGGTTGTGGAGAGGTAGGAGGAAGAGAGTGGTGGCGGGGTGGAGACCTCGGCCGGCCCAGACCTTGCCGACCACCGGAGCCGGCGGCTGCCGCCAGCGCCGGCCTCCACCGCCCACGCGCCACCAGGGAGAAGTGGCGGGGTGGAGACCCCAGCCGGCCCCGACCTTGCCGACCACGGGAGCCAGCGGCCGCCGCCAGTGCCGGCCTCCGCCACGCGCGCGCCGACTCTGCCCACGCGCCGCCATGCGCGCGCTGTCGCCACCGCCCACGCGCCTCGCGTCGCAGTAGCCTCCTCCACCGCCGAAAATCGGAGGGCTTGCCAGATCCGGCTATGGCGATGCCGGATCTGCCGCCGCCTAGCTGGGAGACCTCGTCGCCACCTCTCACCAGCGTACCGACGCCGGCAAACGCCACCTCCCCCACGCCAAAGAGGGAGCGCCGCCACGGAGAAGGCCCCGCCGCCGCCATCCTAGCTCACCAACTGGCTTTGCCGGTGGTGAGCTCCGGCGGCGGCGAGGTAGGGGGAGGGGGGAGAGGGAGGCGGCGGCAGCGGCGGTAGGGTTCGCCCCCCGTGTTGCCTGCGCCTGGGCGACGTGGGGGGGACCCATGGATGGATATTTTTGCTCAACAACTGGACCATTCACATATATCATCAAAACATTGCATGATGCATCATGCATGGTACTCCTTTATTTTCCTGGCACGTTGGTGTAGTACTCCTTCCATCCCATAAAACATTATCCCACTCAAATTTGTTCTAAAATATAAGGTATTTATGATCTCAAGACAATACTTTATTCCTCACCTATCTACTTTTGTACTAGTTTTTTACTCACCTACCCACATTTTGTACTACTTTATTTCATCAATTATTAGCTTTTGTACTTTCATTTGTCATTTTGATACTTTCTTAATCATTGGAAAAAAAAGGCATAATCTCTTATATTATAAGATAGAGGGTGCACGACCTATAAAAAAATCCACTAAACACACAAAGAAAACTGTAGGATTAAAATGGCATGTGTGTTTTTATTCTTCTTCTCCAAGAGTCGAAGTACAGTAGTGCGAGGAGAACCAACAAGCTAATGACACGAAACAACTAGGATTAGGGGAGTTGTACAAATGGAATAGCGTGCACATAAAGGTCTTCCTTCCTCCTAGCAGTGATCCCCATCGTTTCCGTCATATCCAAATCACTATGGAGAGTGCCCTCAGGGAGAGTCCAATCAAAATGAAACAAAAGATTTGCGAGAGCCAGCTCAATATTAGCAATCCCAAATTGCATCCCAGGGCATATTCTTCGCCCAGCACCGAATGGTATGAACTCGAAGTTGTTACCTTTGTGTTCTATTGTACTACCCTCGAACCTCTCTGGCATAAACTTCTCCGACTCATCCCAAAACTCGTTATCTGTGCAAATAGCCCATACATTCACGAGTACCGTAGCTCCTTTCGGTATGTCATAGCCGAGTATTTGGCATTGCTCCTGGCACTCCCTTGGTAGAGCCAATGGCCCGGGAGTGTGCAGCCGCAGGGTCTCCTTGATGATACATTGTAGATAGGTTAGGTTAGTTAGGCCTTCCTCGGTTACCTCCATTTTGTCCTTGTAGGCTTCCCTAACCTCGGCTTGCGCTCTGGACATCACCCCAGGGTTCCTCATCAGCTCCGCCATGGCCCATTGCAGCGTCGTCGTCGCCGTCTCGCTCCCACCCGAGAAAAGGTCCTATATATATATATATATATATATTGTTTTTCTCAACTTGTCAAACGATCAATCGGTACAAAATATATATCACAAAAAATTAACACAATTCGTGACATGAAGATAGCAGCATGAAGGAGCTTACAAAAATGACTGCTCTGATTATGCCCATGGTGAGCTCGAAGTGCAGGCTTCCTTCTGCTTGGAGCCGGAGGAGGACGTCGATGAGGTCCTCCTCGCGTTCTCCTCCCTGACACGACCTCTTCTTCTCGAGGTGCTCCCTGATGACTCGGTCCATGAACTCCATGAGGGACTCGACGAACGCCTCCGCCCTGCGCAGCGTCGTGCTGCTCATCGCCCGCGCCAGCCTCGACGACGGGAACAGGTCGGCCATGGTGAGGCTGCCCGCCAGCCGCACCGCCTCGTCGACGTACCGGAGCAGGGCGTCGCGCTCCCGGAACCGCTCGCCCATCACGATGTGCACCGTCGTGTCCGTGACGTAGTTGCCGAGGAGCTCGCTCAGATTCGTCACGAGCGGCGGCGAGGCGACGCCGATGGCCCGGACGAGCCGCGCCGCCTCCTCCTCGCGGATGGCGCGGAACGCCAGGATGCGCCTGGGGCTCAGCAGCTCGAGGCGGCAGATCTTGCGCACCTGCCGCCAGTGCTCGCCGTAGGGCGCGAACGTGATGCCCGCGCCGCGCCTGGTGCACACCTTCACCACGGCGCTCAGCGGCCGCGACGAGAAGTTGTCGTCGTGCGTCCGCAGGATCTCTCTGGCCGCGCCGGCCGTGGACGCGACGACGACCACAGGGGCGTCGCCGAAGGCGAGGAGCATGAGGGGGCCGTGGCGGCGGGCCAGGTCGCGCAGCGCGCGGTGCGGGAGCGCGCCGAAGAACAGGTGGTGGAGGCTGCCGATGAGCGGGAGGCGCCATGGCCCAGGAGGTAGCCGCAGGTCGCTGTCGCGTGAGCCATGGAGGAAGAGCGTGATGAGGTAGTGTAGAAGAGGAAGAAGAGCTAGCAAGCAGCAGAACACAGCTGCGTCCATGATTGAGCAATCCGAGCTGTGTGATTAGTTTGTGATTAGGTGATCCCCTGCTGCTCATTTTCTATTGTTAGCTGAAGTTGACTTAAGAGCATCGCATTATTGTTGGTGGGAATATTAATCTATCGATCGTTGGAATACTAGGGGCGCCACATCAGCTTGCTTTGGAAAATTAAAACGCACATACTCCCTCCGTTTTAAAATGTTTGACACCGTTAACTTTTTAGCATATGTTTGACCGTTTGTCTTATTAAAAAATTTGTGAAATATGTAAAACTATATGTGTACATGAAAGTATATTTAACAATAAATCAAATGATATGAAAAGAATAAATAATTACTTAAATTTTTTGAATAAGATGAATGTTCAAACACGTACTAAAAAGTCAACGGTGTCAAACATTTTGAAACGGAGGGAGAATATTTAACAACCACCGTGGAGCTTGTGTTTTTATTGACTCACTAATGGTTCTCCAAATGCGTTGTATTTCGTCTACTACTTCCTCCAGGTTGATAATACTTGTCGTTTTAGATAAGAGCATGGTCTCTAAAAGACAACTATTTTCTATTATAATGTATATAGAAATATCAACAAATATATGATTTTATTAAAGTACTTTTCAAGACTAATCACGCATATGATTTCCATATTTTTAAGATAACTATTTTAAAAATTATTTATAGTCAAATATTTTAAAGTTTGACTTTACCCTTATTCAAAATGACTAATATTTATTAGTCTGGGGTGGAAAATTTGGGCCCATGGTTTTCGTCGTGCAACTGGTCTTTTTTTTTGTTACAAATAGTAATAGATTCGTAACTGAATTTGGAGCTTGTTTGATCCGTTGTCTTGAAATATTTTAACTTTATCAAATTACGGTGATTTTGGAAACTAGTACTCTAAACACTGTCAAGGTACTTAAATAGTACTCCCTTCGTCCCTAAATATTTAAAGTTGTTGACTTTTTACAGAGTAAATTTCACTTTGGGCTAGTTTTAATAGCCAAAGTTTCACTATGGACCAGGCCTAGGCCCATATTTTTACATAACACCAGGTAATATTATCTTCCGTTGCACTTTGGATCAGGCTGCACTAATTTGGGCCACCACGTCATCTTCAGCCCAATCCACGTGAGCAGCAGGCTGGTGGACTCAGTTCACGGAAGAATCATATGGAGCCGCCGATACACGATGCGTATAAAACTAGCGCCAGCCTCCTCTGCTTGAGAGAAAACTAGCGCAACACAAGGTTGGGCGCCCCGCCGCTGCCGCGAGCCCCGCTGCCGTCGTCGCCGTGGCTACCGCGTCCGCCATCGCCACTGTTGTCGCCGCGTCCGCCACCATCGCCGTCGCTGTCGTCGTCGCCGCGGCCGCCACCGTCTCCATCGCCGCCGCCGAGGGGACTACACAAGCTCGCATAATGGGAGCACTACTCAGCAGCCATCAGGTGATCTAGTTTACCACCCTTAATCCATCTCTAATGTCAACTTTAGTGATTTCCGGTGAATTGACACCTCAACCAGGTTGCAGTAGCAGTGGAATCGAGCAACAAGAATTGGTCGAATCGAGGGGTGAATGTTGAATTCCCGATAATCTCGTGTGCATCAAGCATGTCCTTGAAATAATTCACTATACAAGGCCTCATTTCATCCCTCATCATCTGGTATATGCATGTGCATATACCTTGCCCTCCTTTGTTTTCAGTGGTAAAACTGACAGCTCCATCTTACTATATGGTTGGTTGCAACCTTACTTGCGCAAATGCACACACATTCAGAAACTAAACTAATTCATTCAGTACACAATTGCAGAAGCTCTGATATTAGTACATCTATGCAGTGTGTGCAATTTATGTAATAATCCTGATTACTATTGCATCGCATACAAAAGTGCACTGATTGATCTTTGAAATGTGCTCTTTTGGGACCAACACACAGGAGACAAGAAGATTAAAGTAGATTATCTTTACAATCCGTGCAAGAATCAAGAATGATGGGGCCACTGCTGCTTAATAGCAAGTATAATAGTGAGCTATAAGTTTACTATAAGCTTATGTGGAGAGAGAGAGGTAACAAAAAATCAGGTATGTTGGCTCTCATGCAAGAGCTAGCTTAGAACAAGCTCCTAGGTAAATACACTAAATGTATAGGTGAGAGATAGAGAGAGGAAAATAAAATTGTAGCCAACCTTATAGCTAATCCATTATATATGTTGACTTTATGATGGGCTAATAGTAGGAAGTAGGGTTGAAACTGGTTCGGATAGTTTCCGTCCGTTCGGACCATTTTTGGGATTCGGATAGTTTCGGTCAGAACTATCCGGAAATTTTCGGATTCGGAAACGAATTCGGATATTTTTTTTCAGAAACAAAAACGAATACAGTATGGGTACCGTACTATCTGTCGGAATCGGAAAATGGTCGGAAACTATCCGGAATTTTTTTCGGTTATCCGCAGACATTGAGCAAATTTTAGAAAAAACACGTATATATACATAACTTCTTCATACAGAATCTGATGAAGACAAACTTTATATCAACATTGTAGAGCTCGATGAGATCTACAACTTTATTATTGACTATTTTATTATTTGAGGATATTTAAGGGTCTAAATATTCATTACAATATACCATATTAATTTTTACAAAATCTAAGATCTACAATTCAAACGACATCTGATGGAGATTGTCAGGGTTATGGATACCACATACCTAATAGTAGTTGACTAAATCTCAGCAGGACCCACCACATACCATGTCTAATACGGAAACTGACCTCGAGGGAGTTCCGGATAAGGAAAGACAACCAGGGTTCTACATGGAAACGACAAGGACTACTCGGATTGTATCCATATTTGTTTCCCTAGTTCTACTTGAACAAGGGGACACCTATGGGTATAAATACAAGACCCCCTAGGAGGAGAGGGGACACGATCACCTCAATCAACATACACGGAACAACAGAAGCCACAACATACAAGCCAACATACGCCAAGACAAGACGCCGGATATCGACTTCAAGGATAGGCACGGCTAGTTCCCTACGGTGTCTCCGGATACTGTCAGGAGAGACGAAAGTGCTATCTTTGATCTCGCCAGGCACGGATTCGAGGAGGAAGACTATCCTGTTGTCGACTACGAGTCAGACCTTCAGACCGCCATGTCGACAACAGTTAGATAGGCTACCCCAAAATATTGTACTGGTGTGATTATGATGAATAAGAGCAACGACCGGCTTCGGCCAACAGGATGTAGGGTTATTACCTGACAATTCAGGGCCCGAACCTGTATAAAAATCCCTGTCTCTGTCTCTTTTACCTTAGTCTCGCGTATACTCTAGTACCAACGATCCCCATACTATGCAAATACCAGAATTGCGACATCAAATGTTGACAGAGATGTGTTCCATATCAAAGTTGTAGAGCTCAACGGGATCTACCACTTTGTAGTTTATAATATTTGTATTTGAAAGCATTTAAAGTATAAAACAAACATTACAAATTTCGAAGATGTGAAATAAAATAAATAACATCTCCAATTCATACAATGGTAAGTAAGTTATACATCTAGTAAAAGGTCTTGGGAATAGAAAATGATAATCATATTTGCATATGAATCTCTTAGAGGAACATCCATGAAAATAGATTTTCACATATGGTTGTAGGACCGTCTACATTGACGATACAAATGTTGGAGATGTTGAACTAAAATAATAAGCGATATCTCTTCCTTGATCAAGAAACTCAATTTGAGGGGGTTTTTATATACCGGTAAATATTCGCTACCGTATTCGTTCCGTCTCGTATTCGCCCTGTATCTGTATTCGATAATATTCGATTTCATTTCCGTATCCGAGTTTTCGATTCTGATTCCAATTCCAAAAAAAATATGAAAACGAATATGATAAAGCTAGTTTCCGTCTGTTTCCGATCTGTTTTCATCCCTAGTAGGAAGTGAGCTCTACTATTATCCTTGCTCTAATGGCTACAACAGATGACCAAATCCTTACTAGAGGAGAGCAGCCGAGCGGCCACACTGAGCAACACAGGTGAAATCCTGATTAGGCCGACCATATCCAAATCAGGGCAGTGCTGTAGCCAGGGGGAGGGAGGGCTGCCATCTACTGAGTGGGTGGTGGCGCTAGAACCCTCGTGGCGTCAGCTTCGCGCCCTAGCGCGTGACTTCCCGCGCGGTTCTTCTCACCGTAAACAGAGTCCACCAGCCGCTGCTCACGTGGTTTGGGCTGAAGACGACGTGGTGGCCCAAATCTGTGAAACCCGGTTCAAAGTGCAATGGAAGGTAATATTACCCGGTGTTATGTGAAAATATGGGCCTCGGCCTGGTCCATAGTGAAACTTTGGCTATTAAATCTGGCTCAAAGTGAAATTTACTCTTGAAGAGTATGTTTGACCGTTCGTCTTATTCAAAAAAAATTTAAGTAATTATTAATATTTTTCCTATCATTTGATTCATTGTTAAATATACTACTACTACTTAAATATCACAAAATTTTGAATAAGACGAACGGTTAAATATATTTAAAAAAGTTAATGGCATCAAATATTTAGAAATGGAGGGAGTAGTATTTTGTGCCACAAGCAGCTCTATGATAAAAATAGAACGGAGATGCTCAACAAAGATAACCGAACACAACGCATGCTGATACATGGCACGGCCGCATGCCCTTGGGCCGTGCATGGCATGGAGTTGGCCCGTGCAGATTGACGTTGACAATTAACATAGTCATTAAAGCAGCAAAGGGGACCGGTATCAAGTGAAAGACGAACAGTTGGAGGCTCGACATGAAGGGGTACGTAATCACAAAATTAGAAGATGAAACTATTGTTCTTTTTTTGACACGCCACCAACACGAAACGGATCCACCTAAAGCTTTGCAGTGTTAATAGAGTTGCCAACCACCTCAACCTTGAGAAACCTGCTAATCAAGGTGGGTTTACCAGATCAAAATCGGCTAGCGGAGCTGATTTAGATAAATTGGGATAAACACCCGTGTCATGGGTGGAATGGAAGATTTATAGGACAAATCTACAAAGAGGATTTGCACTT